TTATACCCCCTTATAGACCGGCTTCGTGAATGAGGCCTACTAACGGTAAGACTGACTTTACTCTTATACATATATATAAATATTATTAACTTATAATATTATAAAGTATAAGGGTTGAATTTTAACTTTTAAAATTCTCAGGGCTAACTTGGAATTAAAGAATTCATAAGAGAACATTTTTCAAGTTCCAAAACTTGAGGGAAAGTTTTGAAAATATTCAAAACTAATTAATTCCATAACTTATGTGTTTAAAGTAGTTTTAATTAAAAACTCTTCAAGTTCCATAACTTGAAGACAAGTTATGGAAGACTTTAAACTTAATAATAGAATGTAACTTTTCTTTATTTTATAACTTATGGAATTATTAAGGTTACACACTTTATTCTTTAATGAAGTGACTCTTGAACCTGCATAACTTGAGGACAAGTTATGGAGTCATTAATCCAATGAATGATGACAAGACTCTTCATTTTTGTAATCATTGCCAACTTTTATGAGTTTTATGAATCTTAAATGTGTCTTTTAATATAACTTGAGGACAAGTTACAAAAACACATTTTAGCATCAACTCTTAGATTAAAATGGATCAAACGCACATAATCATTCAACATTTTCTATTAATCTAAGCAACTCATAAGAACAAGATAATTCAAATCAAACTTTTTCATGTAATTAGTCTAAACCTTAAACTAATACAAAACATGAATCTATTGACAATTATCTTTGAAATTGGATTAGCATGAACATTACCACATCAAAATCAAGTTTATAAGTCCAAAACCATCTTAGGGTAATGTTCCTAGTCCAATCCCAGCCAAAAAAGTCGAATTTATGTTGTTTGGGGGTCCAACTCATCGAGTACATGAACCAACTCGGCGAGTTGGATCGATTTGATCATTTTTTAGGCATGGACTCACCTAGTCTCCTGATGGACTCGCCGAGTCTGATGATAAGACAGCAACAAATTCGATTTTTTTAAGCAGTTTTAAAAGTATAACAAGAAAACAAACCTGGCTCTGATACCACTATTGGGTTTTGTGCATTCTAACACTCCTAAGTGTACATGCAACCCTAAATACCTTGGATATATGTTTTCTATATTATACATACAAATAAGATCTTTCCAAGGCTTTAATCCTAACTAGCATATTATGAAGTTCTTATACTACAAAGTACTACATAGATGACATACCTTTTGATGTAGCTTGATGTCTTCAAGCTTTAAGAGCTTAGCCCCAATAGTGTGGAAGCCTCAAGTGGAATCACAAATCACCAAAACACCTTTGGAAGACTTTAGAGAATATGAATACTTGATTCTCTTTAGTGAAATCGGCTAGCCCTTCTTAGTGTATCCACACTAGTGCCAATTTCACCCACTAAGGACATCTTTATATAGTATGGAGACTAGGGTTAAACCCATGACCTTTCATTTCATATGATCCATGGGTTAAAGACTTCATGGACTATCCATGAATGCTTAGCCCAACCTAAATGAACTTTTCCCATTCCATATATATATAAGAGTCCATATTTAATTATTTCATTTTGATCACTTAATTAATTCTAAATTAAGTCCTGATAAATACTAATTAAATAATATGATTCATTATTAATATATTAGAACTTATAATATACTAATATAAATCATAAGTGTACTATTCTCAAAAGACTATCCATATAAATTGTGTCGGTGAAGTGCAACCCAAATGGACCATGCCGAGTCGGGTCAAGTACATACCGAATCTAGTTATGGACTTAGACATTAATCCAACATTATGAACTCACTTGTGGTGAGTGGATTGGAATGATATGTCGGGTACGGTGCTACGTGACAAATGAAGACTTGTATACACGCACGAGCCTAGTTATCATATAATGAACATATATATAACTAATTAGCCAATTTATAACTAATAAATTATGTTGGGACACTCTAGAACCTGAAAACACTTTGATTCAAGTGGTAAAGATCACAAGGATTGCATCCAAGTGTTGGTAGGGCAAAGCTAGTGTGTTTGGAGTTCAAGGGTAAACTCCCTTGGAGTTTACGGTTTTGATGGTCATAACTCAACGAGTTTACAGCAGTAAACTCTAGATTTTACGGTCGTAAACTCTAGTCCTAATGACCAAATGTTTTTTTGTGGTTTAACAAGTCCTTTGAAGCATTTCTACTAAGTGGTTTGGCCTTTGGAATGGACTAGGGCAACAAAAACACTCCTTGCAGTAGTTTACAGCCTCAAGGACATTTCCATTTGGTTTTACTACCGTAAACCCTTATGGAAAAGGGTATTGCCATGTTTTCAAGTCCTTAACACAACTAGGTAATTTTCTAAGCTAGTTTTTAGGCCTAAGGAAGGAAAATGACCCATTTAAACATACTTTAGGGTGTTTACAGTTTTGGGAGATCCCCAAACCGTAAACAACTATAAATGCCCTTTATGGTGTTTACGGCCCAAGCATCTTCTTGGACTGTGAACACCTCAATCCTTGTCTTCTTGGCATAATTTATTGATGTTTAAATGTAATACTAGCCTAAGAAGTATTAAGGATGGAAGTACTTACTATTAGGAGGCTTGATTTGAGCTAAAAGGCCAAGAACACTTAGTGTGTGTTCTTGGTGTTCTTGGTGTTTTTGGAAATCTAGACAAAATACATAAATGAATGGATGAATAGATGTACAAACACTAGATTAAGTGTTTTACTAACTTGAAATGGTTAGAACACTTACAACTTTGAAGATTTGGAATTAAATATAGGATGATACTTGAAAGCGTTTTTGGAGTTTACTCTTTTATGAACTTGGGGAGTTAACACAAATGACTAACTTTTGGGGAGTAAACTCATACATAGGTATGAGTTCACGGTTTTTTGGGTGATTTTTCAACCCAAACATAAAAGTTTGGTCGGGAATTTCTATGACGCGAAGTGTTTGCGGTTTTTAAAATTCAAAACCCGTCACGACACTTGCTTTCACCCTTTCGTTTAAAAATAATATTAAAATAGTCAAATGAACTTTATACTTCTTAAAAATAAAAAATAACGACATTAACTTATGATACGAAGTGGTTGACTTTTAGAGTTTGACCAAATGGAAATTTCGGGTTGTCACAACAAAGACTTGGACTAAAAATAGTTTTTGTTTTTAGTGTAAATTGTTGTTGTAATTTATGTTTATGATTTTATTGTGAACTCGAATATTGCCTGAGATGTAAAATGTTTATGAGTTAACAGAGTTACACATTTGATAGTAACTCTGATAATCCCTAAATAATTAGATTAGAAAAAGTTGGATCATTACACCTCAACTAATGTCATTGATAATTTTTTGTTGGAACTCTTTCGTCCCTATATCTCTTTATATACCTTCAAACGGATGTTTTGTATACAATATTCATAAATGTTGTTGCGTTCACAACACTTCGTCCTAAACAACATAAATGTTTAATATATATATATATATATATATATATATATATATATATATATATATATATATATATATATATAGATGTTGGTTCCCTTGAGATAAAAAAAATTAGAGATTGTGAGATAAGTGTATAACCGTTTGATGTGCTTATGTTTGTTTCTAAAACCATGTGGTTGCATATTTCTAATTATATTGGTAACTTATTAACCTAACACCATTAATTTATGATTATGGAGCTATTGTTGTAATTTTACAATGATTGTTATGAACTTTGCAGGCTACGATACTGTAACGGCCTATTCCTTTATTTTCTTTCTCTATCAAAGTCTCACTTCGAACTCTCAGGAAATCCTATTTTTCTTTTTTTACAACATTTTGTCCTAGTTTTCATTTCTGACTTGTTCTTGAGAAATCATTAAATGTCTTCAGAAGAAAATATAAACGAATTCGTATCTCCGTTAATCAAAATGAAAAGTTGGAATGCGAGTTATTTTTCATTTTATTGATAATGCATGTTTTTATTAATTAGTTAACTGTAGTTGTATGTTAATAATGGTGTTTTTTTTGTTTTGATTTAGTAGGTTTTTCGTCATTTTAACTTGATTTTGATGATTGTCTCGTATAGAGTTGATATTTTTTTTATTATGTTTGTTTGTGGTGTTTTTTGATGTAAGTTTTTGTTTATATTTTCACAAATAAGGATTTCAAAAGAAACTATGTTCGAAAAAAATTCAAAAATCAAAAAAAGATTGAATGCGGTTGAAGTGCTGTTATTTCCGAAGGTACAATTCAAAAAATATCAACTATGATTAGAAGTAGAAATAAACATATAACTTAGTGTTTGATGTTATTTGTTGTAATCATAACTGATTTTTTGATTTTTTTCAGTGTATTGAACATAGCATTTAGTTATATGTTTATTTCTACTTCTAATTATAGATGATTTTATACGTTTGTTTATAATCATTGGTAAATATTAATGATAAATGTATTTTTATGTATCAAACATGAATATAAAGCTATTTTGTAATCATAACTGGTTTTGTGGTTCTTTTAAGTGGATTGTATATAAAATTTAATTGTATTTTTATTTATTGTTCTAATCATAAATGATTTTATACGTTCGTTTATAATTATTAGTGAATAGTAATGATAAATGTACATTTTATTTTTTACTAACACTATGTTTGTAACGAAAATTATGGTTAAAAAAGGGAATGTAGATAGCTCAAGCAAGACACGATCATCTTCCAAAAGATAAAAGGTGAATGAGATGTTGCAAACACGTTCAAAGACATCCAAAAAAATAGTTATTGAACAACCAAAAGTGAAGCTGAGGGTTAAGGTCAAAACTGTAAGTAAGAAATGTGAACTATCTGATGAATATGATTCAGATTTTCAGAGTCGTCCTGGATCTTCAAAGAAAACAAAGAGATAAACTAAGGTTTTTAAGAAATATAAAAAAGTTCCTGTTATAAAAGAATTTCCTTCATTGAAGAATAGATGTTCACCCGGGTCATTGTTGGGTGTTATTCAAGGTTTAAGTAGAGAATAGAAGGATTGTGTTAAGGCTATGGGATTTGGGAGTTTGTTAGGGATGAAGATGATTGACATACCATTGAAGATTCTTTATTATGTTCTTGATCATTTTAATTTTGAAACGTTGGAGGTGGAGTTTGAGAATTGTCAAGTTAGTGTTCATTGTAAGTCTACTCAAGAGATGTTAGGATTACCATTTGGTGGCTCATTACTTTCAAATATGGATTACATTTCGGAGAATACTGAACAGAGCTATATGTTTGAATGGAAGAAACAATACGAAAATATTGATAAATTGAGATTGAAACAACTAAAGAATGAACTTGTTCAAAGTAGTGTTGTGGATGATAACTTCATAATCAATTTTTTGGTTCTTTTTATTAATACTTTCTGTGAGTCTACAAGCATTTGTAAATGTTATCTGAATCCATTGTATTTAATCAGAATATATGATGATTTAAGTAGCATTGACTGGTGCGATTACATTGTGGATTGTTTCGTAAGCACGAAGAAGGTTTACAATCCAGAGAAAGAATCTTCTTTCTTTTATGGACCAACAACATACCTTATGGTATGTGAGTTATTTTTTGATATTAATTATTCTTTTTAGTTGTAAAAATATGTTTGTTTTTATAATCAATCATATATGATTTTATTACATATAATCATATATGATTATATCATATAATTTTGGTTTAATTATATATTACACATCAAAATCATATATGATCTTATATATGTTATCATGTTATATATGTTTTTTGTAGTTATTGTATGTGGATACTTTCAAGTTTGATCATTTGCAAGTCACATGTAAAATTCCAACTATTTTTTATTGGACGTTAGAGAATATAAGGTTTCTTGAGGATATTTTACAAGAGAGTGTAGGATTTGGATGTGGACATGTTAATGAACCATATGTTGAAGAATAATTTCAAGAAACTGATATAATAAGGAAGAATTTAGTGGTGATGAGGATGGATCTGATGGTGAAGAGGATTTATGTGATGAGGATGAAGAAGATTTTAATGCTAATAATGTTAGTGTTGTGGAGGTAATTCTATAGTTTTATTCATTTATGATTTAATTATTTTATTCATTTATGACTTTTTATGTTTAAGTATTTTAGTTGTAAGTATCTTTTTTCTTATGTGGGTGTATGAAAGTATAAATTTCGTGTATGTATCAGAAGATGGAGGATTTGAAAAATGATCTTGTTGTAAAGATAAATGAGGAAGTGTTGAAGTTTCCTCAAAGTCAAAATTTGAAAAATTGGAAATCATTATTTCCTGTTGAAGATTTAAGCACATAAAGTTTTGATTTTCATTATGTTTCACAAAAAAATAAAGAACCGATATTAGCACCTGGTTTTGTTCAAGTTAATGATGAAGATTATGGGAATAATTTTCTTAATGATGATGAACATGTTGAAGATTATTATTAAGGGAAATGTTCTGGTGGTCAGGGGGATGGAAGTAGTCCACATGAGGGCAATATTGGTAAAAATCATGTAGACTGTAAAGTTGATGATGTTGGTAAAAACAATGATTTGTTAAGTCAGAAAGATGATGAAGATGATGAACAAGGAAATGGAAGTGGATGTAACAAAGAAGAGGCCATGAATTTAAATTCTGTTGTCGAAAATGTTACTAAGAGTGTGGGTCTAAAGGATAGCCAGGAAGGTGTATCTTTTACTCAATTTATTTGCGATCTAGTTGTTGAAAGTATTCTTAAAACTTTGGATCAAGGTAGGCATATTTTATTATTATATCTAGTTTAATCATATATGATTTTAATTTTTTATATTTGAATTTTATAGGTACTGATGGTTGTATAAATCAGAAACAAGTTGAAGATGATGTGAATGAGAATTTGACTGGTTTTGATGATGGTAAGTATTTATTTATGTATTTTTAATACATAATATATATATATATATATATATATATATATATATATATATATATATATATATATATATATATAGATGATTCAATTATGATTTTAATAATTTAGGGACTATAAATTTGGGTGAGGATGATCATAAGAAAAAAGTAATTTTAGATCATAACGTTGATAAAGTTATTGTAGCAAAGAAGGATGGAGAAGGTGAAGATGTTGAAGATTGTTTAAGTAAAAATAAAGATGGATTTAATTTGTTTACAATTATTGTTTATCCATATATGATTGTATTTATAATTATTGTTTATTCATATGTGATTTTTATAATTATTGTTTTTTCATATACGATTTTTATAATTCTATTGGGCAGAAAATGTTGAAGATTGTTCAAATAAAAACAAGGATTCAAATGAGACTCGATCATTGAAAAATGAGATTGTTCCAAGTTTTAGCCTTGGATTTAGTCAAGATTCTGAATGTTCCAAGAAGTCATTTCAAAGTCAAATTTTTTCTGAATGGATGACAAAGAAAAAGATTAAGGATAGAGTTTATTTTGGAAAACCAAGTGCCGGTCCAGAGTGTCTTATTCCAAATGTTGATGTTATTGATGCTAGTCCAGCTTCTTTTGCACCCCCTTTGTGTACATTAGAAGGACCATTAAAACATGTTTTTGGCAAAACTAAATATATAAATGAAGAAGCAAGATCAGTAGTTGTCACACCCTGAAAACCGAAGGCGGAAACATTTCCGGGGTTGACACCACGTTGTGTATCAAATCCAATGTACATAGTAAGTAAAGTAAAACAACCACTACATTACATATTTAATGGTGTACATTTGTTTGAAAAGTAAAGTTATACAAGTGATACATATTATATATGAACAAAATGAAACGAGTCTTCTGAGCACTCCGTCTTCGAACAAAAGGATCTTCAGGTACCTGTCTAACGCTGACCTGAGAATACAAGCGGTTTGAAAATCAGCATAACGCTGGTGAGTTCATAAGCGGTTTTGTTTTCTGAAAATGTACAAGTTCCTTTTTGTTTCTGTTTCTCAAAAACTTACACACCAAGAAAATCTCATATTTTCTTAAAAGTTGGTTATCAAATCCAAAGTGTAAAGTAAAAGATGTATACTGAAAACATGTTTACCCTTGTAAATTGTAAAGTTTAGTTGTCTAAATCTGTTATATGAATCTGGTTATGTAACACCGTAAATTTCAAAACAAAATTTTCAAATTTTCATAAAACATAATTCAATTAATATTCATAAAACAACCATATTAATTATCCAATTCAAGTCATTACAAAATCCCAAGATCACAAATGTAAAAACTCTGTGTGTGTGTGTGTACGGATCAAGCCGGCGCCTTCCCGTGGTCGTCACTAGTACCTGAAACAATAACATCAAACACTATAAGCACAAAGCTTAGTGAGTTCCCCAAAATACCACATATAACACATATTAGCCACTCGAGGCTATAACTCTGTGGGTCCGTGCACCCAAACTATGTGAACCCTCAGGTTCTAGCTCTGATAAACATGCACCACATAAATCGCATAGAAATAATGCAGTACAACACATAACATACATAACATACAAATACTCTATCACGTAACTATGCTTACCTATTCAAGGTAAAGTATAGTGAGAAAACTCACCTCGCGTATCTCGGTATCTCACGAATCCTGGAAATCCCTCGTGCTCGATCCTCCGAGCTCTAATCCTCCTATAACATCATATGTCTCTAGTTAACACTTTATATCTTATAAGGTTGAATATCCCTAAGAAGTCAACACAGGCCAACTTCGATCAACGGTCAACTTTGATCGGACTCGGCGAGTGCGCTATGGCGACTCGGCGAGTCTAGATATTTTCACCAACTCTCTAAAATTCCCTTCCTACACATCGAGTATCCCCCCTCACTCCACGAGTTTCATCTGGAAGAATCGCGGGGCCACCCCGACTCAACTCGCCGAGTCTCAAGAACAACTCGGCGAGTCCAAGTTCGACTCAGTCCACCTGTCGTCCCTCTCCAACTCACCCTGACTCACTGAGTCAACCCATGACTGGATTGGACCACTCACTTAGCGAACCCAAGGCAATCTTCAAACTACTCGCCGAGTCTGATGAACAGACTCGGCGAGTCCAGGCCATGCAATCACTCTAACTTGCTTCTAAGGTCAGATCTGCTTCCACAATCTATAGATCTGGCCTCCCTAGACTGATTCATCACGTAAAGCTTCTATCTTGGTGCCCTTAACACACCCCATGGCTCATAAATAGAGTTTTGACCTAAGGCATAAGGATTCCAATCCAAAACCTCCATTGATTCCCAAAAAGCTTGGGCAAAGGGACACTCTGGACCTCCAAGGGTCCAGATCTATGGTTTAAACCACATAAGGGACCAAGGGGGCACTAGATCTTGCCACAAAAGGGTTCAACAAACCCTAAATCAAAATAAACATCAACAAGGAAGAAGATAACTCGAAATTATTACCACAATAGTGATGCTCTGGACTCCAAACTCTCAGAAGTGGCTCCACTTGCTTTCCCTTAGCTAGTTCTCTCCTTCCTTGCAAAAATGACACCTCCAAGATCAATAATGGCCTTCTGGTTTGCTCCAAACGCTCACACTCGATTAGGGTTTCACTCAAGGGACTGGTGAGCACAAATGACAGCCATAAGGCCCTTTAAATAGGTCCCAAACCCGAGAAATTAGGGTTTCATTACAAAGCGCTGACTCGCCGAGTCCAGGCACGATCCCGCGACCAGATCCGCGACCCTACTTGGCAAGTCTGAGCTCCAACTCGCCGAGTCCCCTCTCAAAACACCAAAAAACATAAATATACAAGATACCTGAAAATCCGGCTGTTACAACTCTCCCCCACAAGAACTAGACTTCGCCCTCGAAGTCTCGCTCTGAAAACAGCTCCGGATGCTGCTCCTGCATCATACGCTCTGGCTCCCAGGTCATCTCCGATCCCCTCCGGTGTTGCCACTGAACCAACACCAGAGGTACCTCCTTATTCCTCAGAACCTTGATCTTCCGATCTCTGATGGCCACTGTTCTCTCGGCATAATTCAGGCTTGCATCCACCTGAATATCCTCTAATGGAACGACTGTCGATTCATCGGCTATACACTTCCTCAACTGCGAAACATGAAAAGTGTCGTGGATCTGCCCCAACTCTGCTGGCAACTCCAACCGATAGGCTACCCGGCCTACCCTCGCAATCACACGAAATGGTCCTATAAATCGGGGCCCCAACTTGCCCCTCTTCCTGAACCGAATCACTCCTTTCCAAGGGAAAACCTTCAGGAGAACGAAGTCACAGACCTGAAATTCAAGCTCGGACCGGCGCCTGTCCGCATAACTCTTTTGTCGGCTCTGGGTGGTCAATAACCTCTGTCTGACCTGCTGTATCTGCTCTGTCGTCTGAATCACGATCTCTGTACTGCCCATCACTCTCTGCCCAACCTCACCCCAACAAATGGGGGTCCGACACCTCCTACCATACAACAGCTCAAACGGCGGCATACCGATGCTCGAATTATGGCTGTTATTGTAGGAAAACTCCGCCAAGGGTAAATACGCATCCCAGCTACCCCCGAAATCCAACACACATGCTTGAAGCATGTCTTCAAGCGTCTGAATCGTCCGCTCACTCTGGCCGTCTGTCTACGGATGATATGCGGTACTAAAATGCAGTTTAGTACCCAACTCCTCATGAAATTTCTTCCAGAATCTGGAAGTGAAACGCACATCACGGTCCGAAACAATCGAGATCGGCACTCCATGCCGAGATACCACTTCTCTCACATAAACCTTCGCCAACTTCTCCGCCGAAGAACTCTCACTGATGGAAAGGAAGTGAGCGCCCTTCGTCAACCTATCCACAATCACCCAAATTGCATCAACTCCTCTGGCAGTCCTCGGCGATTTGGTGATGAAATCCATAGTGATCTGTTCCCACTTCCACTCGGGAACCTCCAATGGCTGCAACTTTCCATGCGGTCTCTGGTGGTCGGCCTTAACCCTTCGGTAGGTCAAACACCTCTCGACAAACCATGCGACGTCCCTCTTCATACAGGGCCACCAATACTCTTTCCTCAAATCCAAATACATTTTCGTAGCCCCGGGATGGATCGAAAATTTCGATCTATGTGCTTCCTCCATCAAAGTAGTACGCGTACCGCCCACAAACGGTACCCAAATCCGGCCCTGAAAAGTCATAAGCCCTCGACTATCCGAAACGAACTCTGAAACCAAACGAACGATCCGTTGTCTCTTCTGCATCTCCGGTTGCACAGCCTTGGCCTGTGCCCCACGAATGGCATCCAGAACTGGAGCTATCACGGTCAATCTCAAACATACATTTCGCAGTGGAGTACTCTCCGCCCTGCGGCTCAACGCATCAGCTACCACATTAGCCTTGCCCGGGTGGTACAGGATCTCACAATCATAATCCTTGACCACATCTAACCACCTCCTCTGCCGCATATTTAGGTTAGGCTGATCCATCAAGTACTTCAAGCTCTTATGGTCCATGTATATCGTATAACGAACCCCATACAAGTAGTGACGCCAAATCTTGAGGGCGAACACCACTGCCCCCAACTCTAGATCATGCGTGGGATATCTCGTCTCATGAGGCTTCAACTGCCTCGATGCATATGCTATCACATGTCCCTTCTGCATCAGTACCGCTCCCAGCCATAAAATCGATGCATCACAAAATACTACAAAATCTTCCATCCCTTCCAGAAGAGCTAATACCGGGGCTTCGCACAACCTTTGGCAAAGCGTCTCAAAGGAGGTCTGCTGCTCGGGACCCCATGAAAAGGCAACACCCTTCCGGGTCAATCTGGTGAGTGGCACCGTGATCTTGGAGAAATCCTTGATAAATCTCCGATAGTACCCTGCCAACCCAAGGAAGCTCCTGATCTCAGAGGGTGACTTTGGCACCTCCTAACTCATCACCGCCTCAACCATGGCCGGATCGACCAATATCCCTTTCTGATTAACAAGATGTCCCAGAAACTGGACCTCCCGCAACTAGAAATCGCACTTGGAAAACTTTGCATAAAGTTTCTCCGATCTTAAAACCCCAAGAACTTCCCTCAAATGCTCCTCATGCTGCTCTCCAGATCTCGAATATACCAGAATATCATCGATGAATACAATCACTGACCGATCCAACATCGGCCTGCATACCCTGTTCGTGAGATCCATGAACACAGCTGGGGCATTGGAGTGCCCAAAAGGCATCACCACGAACTCATAATGCCCATATCGCGTCCTGAACGCTGTCTTCTGGACGTCCTCATCCAGCACTCTCACCTAATGATAGCCCGACCTCAAATCGATCTTGGAGAACCAAGATGCTCCCTGTAACTGATCGAATAAATCGTCGATCCTCGGCAACGGGTAACGGTTCTTGACCGTCAGCTTGTTCAATTCTCGGTAGTCAATACACATTCGATGCCAGTCGTCCTTCTTCTTCACAAACAGAATGGGCGCTCCCCACGGCGAGCTACATGGCCGAATAAACCCCTTCCCCAGCAGCTCCTGAAGCTGCGAGGATAACTCTTGCATCTCTGGAGGTGCAAGACGATAAGGCACCTTAGCGATAGGCGCGACCCCCAGATTCAAATCAATACTGAAATCTACTTGCCTCACGGGAGGCACACCGGATAACTCTTCGGGAAAAACATCTGGGAAC